GCCGGGCATGGTGCCACATGCCTGTAGTCCCAGCTACTGGGGAGGCTGAGGCAGAAGGATTGCTTCAGCCTAGGAGATTGAGGTTGCTGTGAGCCAGGCTGACACCACGGCATTCACTCCAGCCTGGTCAATAAAGCGAGACTCTGTCTCAAAAAAAAAAAAAAAAGTTATGTATTGAATAGCATCTCCAGCTTCTATTGTCCAACTGCCTATTTCTCCCTTCAATGCTGTCATTTTTTTCACATATTTTGAGCTCTGGTGTTAGGTGTGTATAAAGTTACAATTGTCCTATCTTCTTGTTATATTGACCCATTTATCAATATGCAATGTTCTTCTTTGTCTCTTGTAACAATTCTCAACTTAGAATCTATTACATTTTGCCCGATATTAGTATAGCCTCCCCAGCTGTCTTTGGTTACCATTTCCATGGAATACCTTCTTCCATCTATTTGATTCAACCTATTTGTGCCTTTGGATCTAAAGTGAGTTTCCTGTAGACAACATATAGGTATATCATGGGTGGTTTTTTTGTTTTGCTTTGTTTTTTATCCATTCTGCCAATCTTTACCTTTTATTTGGAGAGTTTGACCTAATGTTTACATTTAAACTAATTATGCCTAAGGATAGACTTAGTTCAGACATTATGCTATCATTTATATCTTTTTTGTTCCTCAATTCCTCCATTACTGCCTTCTTTTGTGTTTACTTTTTGTTCTGTACCAACCATTTTCTTTCCATGCGCATTATTTTTTAAATATATTTTTTATTTATTTTCTTTATGGTTATCTTTGGGAGTGCAATTACCATCTTAAGCTTATAACAATCTAGTTTGAATTAATACCAATTTAGCTAAAATAGCTTACAAAAAATATGCTCCAGTATATCTCCATCCCTCCCTTTAATGTGTTATTGTCACAAATTACATCTTTATACATTGTGTGTCCATTACCATAGCTTTATAATTATTGTTATGTGTATTTGTCTATCATATAGGAAAAAAAGGAATTACAAATCCAAAATACAATACTATTGAATTTTTTTTGTTTTGTTTTAGAGATTAGATCTGTCACCCAGGCTGGAGTGCAGTAGCATGATCATAGCTCACTGTACCCTTGAGTTCCTGGGCTCAAGTGATCCTCCTACCTCAGCCTCCCAAAGTGCTGGGATTACAGGTAAACGCCACTGCAACCAGCACTATTGGCTTTTATATTCACCTATGTATTACCTTTCCCAGTATTCTTTATTTGTTCATTTGGCTTCAAGTTACTACAGGCTGAGCATCCCAAATCTGAAAATCCCAAATCCAAAATGCTCCCAAATCTGAAACTTTTTGAACACCAACATGATGCTCAAAGGAAATTCTCATTGAAGCATTTCAGATTTCAGACTTTTGGATTTGGGATGCTCAACTGGTAAGTACAATGCCAACATCCAAACTTCAAAAAACTTCAAAATGCAAAACACTTTTAGTCCCGAGCATTTCTGATATGCAATATTCAATCTGTATCTGATGATATCCTTTTATTTCAGGGTAAAAGACTCCCTTTAGTGTTTCCTGTAGGGGAAGGTCTACTGACAACAAACTCCCTCAGCTCTTGTTTATTTGGGAATGTCTTAATTTCTCCATCATTGTGGGAGGCTAGTACCGATGGATATGGAATTCTTGGTTGCCAGTTTCTTTTTTATCTTTCAGCATCTTAAACATATAATCCCACTGGCTTTGGCCTCCATAGTTTCTGCTGAGAAATTGGCTGTTAATCTTGTGGAGGATGCCTTGTAAGTAACCATCACTTCTCTCTTGCTGTTTTCACAATTCTCTCTTTGTCTTTGTCTCCTGACAGTTTGAAAATACTGTGTCTCAGTGTGGATCTCTTTGAGTTTATCATACTCTGAGTTCATGGAGCATTTTGGATGTGTTGCATTTCATCTTTTATCAGATTTGGGACTCTTTGGCCATTATTTCTTCAGATACTCTTCCTTCACCTTTTACCCTCTTATTTCTTTCTGGGACTCCCATTTATGCATATATTGGTATGCTTGATGGGATCTGGGATCTCACAGGTCTCTTGGGCTTTGTTCATTTTTCTTCATTCTTTTTTCTTTCTGTGCATCAGACTTGATCATTTCAATTACTCTGTCTTCAAGTTTGCTCATTCTTTTTTGCCTGCTCGAATCTACTGCTGAGCCCCTCTTGTGAAATTTTTCATTTAAGTTATTATACTTTTCAACTGCAAAAATTTTATTTGGTTCCTTTTTATAATTTCTATCTCTTTATTCATAGTTTCAATTTTTTGAGACATTGTTCTCCTGATTTCTTTTAATTGTTTGTCTACGGTTTCCTTTAACTCTTTGTACATGCTTAAGACAGTTCATTTAAAGTGTTCATCTAGTAATTCCTCTGTCTGTGCTTCCTCATTGACAGTTTCTATTTCATTTTTCCTGTGAATCAACCATATTTTCATGTTCTTTGCATGGCTTATGACATTTTGTTGAAAATTAGACATTATGATGTGGTAACTCTGGAAATAAGAGTATCTTTTCTCCCTAGGATTTCTTTTATTTATTTATTTATTTGAGACAGAATCTCACTCTGTTGCCCACGCTAGAGTGAATGCTGTGGCGTCAGCCTAGCTCACAGCAACCTCAAACTCCTGGGCTCAAGTGATCCTTCTGCCTCAGCCTCCCAAGTAGTTGGGACTACAGGCATGCACCACCATGCCCGGCTAATTTTTTCTATATATTTTTAGTTGGCCAAATTAATTTCTTTCTATTTTTAGTAGAGATAGGGTCTCCTTCTTGCTCAGGCTGAACTCCTGACCTTGAGTGATCCCCCTGCCTCGGCCTCCCAAAGTGCTAGGATTACAGGCGTGAGCCACCACCCCAGGATTTCTTGTTGTTGCTTGCAGTGGGTTGTAGTTGTTTGATTGTTCAGTGACTTTTTTTTTTTTTGAGACAGAGACTCACTATGTCGCCCTGGGTAGAGTATGGTGGCATCAGCCTAGCTTACAGAAACCTCAAACTCTTTGTCTCAAGCCATCCTCATGCCTCAGCCTCCCAAGTAGCTGGAGCTACAGGCCTGTGCCAGCACACCCAGTTAATTTTTTCTATTTTTAGTAGAGATGGGATCTCACTCTTGCTCAGGCTGGTCTTGAACTCCTGACCTCAAGCTATCCTCCCGCCTCAGTCTCCCAGTGTTTAGTGACCTTTTTAAACTATCTTTTTTTCTTTATTTATTTTATTTCTTTTCATGTATTAATTTTTTTGTCTGTTATGTTTCTTATACCTTTCATGTATTGATAAACTATCTTTTTAAAGACTATTTTTTTTGTCATCTGTTGTGTCTGAAGTCTCTGTTCCTTTAGCTTAGTGCTCAGCTAATGGTTTGAGATGGTTTTCTTAAATGCTTGTAGGAAAAAAGAAAAGAAAAAGAGAGAAAAAAGGAACACTATATTCACCAGGTTTTTACAGAGTGGATGTGCATTGGGGTGCTCATTCTATGCTTAGCCGAGCCATTTATAACTCTGCTTAAGCTGTCACTTACTGTTTGCACTAAACATAAAACCAACCAGAGGTGAAAGCTTAGGTCCTTCTCAGGTGTTTTCTCAGGATGTTTCCTGCTCTTGGCATGCACACAGCTTTCTAGATGCCCCAGTATAAATAGGAGAGCTTCAAAGCCCTTATTCTCCCAAATATCTCGCTCCTGCATTTTCCTCCTAAGCTTCCATCTTGTCTAATTTTTGCCCCTATTGTTTTGTTTTGTTTCTGGGGGTTTTTGTATTTTTTTATTTGTTTTGCCCCAGACAGCAGCAGCTTTTTCATTTGTCTTTCAATTATTTTTATAAAGAGATGGGGTCTCTACTATGTTGCCCAGGTGAGACTCAAACTCCAGGGCCCAAGCAATCCTCCTGCTTCAGCAGAGCCGAGCTTTGCCTTTCCCTTTCGGTGTTTTTGCTGCATACCCTGCATGCAGCTGCTTTTCTGCCCCTACAGGGTTTTGAATTAGGAAAACAAAGGCAAGCCCCTGTATCAGTGCTTCGGGGAACTCCCAAACAGACAAACATAATTTCTTGGGACAAAGTCTGCCTTGCTCCTTCGGGAACCAGGTATCCCCACCAGGAATGAGAGCTGACAGGGCGGTGGAGTTAGGGTAAGTTGAAATATCATGAATGTCTCTACCCAGTTGTGGAATGCAGCTTCTGGCAGTGGCCTTATTTCCTGCTTCAGCGTTAGCTTGTTAGCTTGTTTGCTGTAAGCCTTTTTTTTTTTTTTTTTTTGAGACAGAGTCTCGCTTTGTTGCCCAGGCTAGAGTGAGTGCCATGGCCTCAGCCTAGCTCACAGCAACCTCAAACTCCTGGGCTCAAGCAATCCTCCTGCCTCAGCCTCCGAGTTGTGGGACTACAGGCATGCGCCACCATGCCGGCTTATTTTTCTATATATATTAGTTGGCCAATTAATTTCTTTCTATTTATAGTAGTGACAGGGGTCTCGCTCTTGCTCAGGCTGGTTTCGAACTCCTGACCTCGAGCAATCAGCCCGCGTAAGCCACCGCGCCCGGCCTGCTGTAACACTTTGACGACAAGTAAAATACATCCATACCCTGTCCACTCAGTCTCCTATTCTATTCCCTCTAGTCTCATTTTATTCAGCCTCCTGGGAATCTGATTCTTTCCCATTACTTCCTTCTCAGTGACAGATACGCACTATGACAGATACGCACCGCTCACAAACACTATCGCCAACTTCAAACCCAGGAAGCCCTAAATTAAGTTTATATTCTTACTCTCCCGTTTCCTCAATCTCAAGCCCTCCCGAAATTGGCTTCTTTCCCAGCCTGGGGTTCCCCCCCCCCCCGTTGCGCAGTTAACCGACAGCACCATCCGCCCACCTCTCCGGGACTCGGGACTCGAACCCGGCCAGTCCTGCCTGCAAGGTGGAAGGGACGCCCTGCCCCGCTCCTCCCGCGAGTCCCGGAAGGGAACCGGGCGGAGCCGGGGCGGCGCCCGAGGCCGGGAGCGCGGAGTCCGGAAGCGCCGGGCCGGGAGCGCGGACGGCCGGGACTGGGGGCTCCCGAGCGGGCCGGATCCTCAGCAGGTGCGCGGGCGCCGCGGGGTGCCGGGGGTGCCGGGGTGGCGGGCTGGTCCCCGCCGAGATCTGTCCCGCCGGGGGTCTCCGCGGCCCTGGCCTGGAGGTGGCGCCGTCGTCGGGGCGGGGGCTCCCGCGGCAGGGCCTCGGGCCGGGCGGGGTGCGGTGGTGCGGGGCGAGGGGACCCCCGGCCCTCGCGGGTGTGGCGGCCGCCCGCTCTGCCCTGCCGCGGCGGGCTCGGGGCTCGCGGAGGTCGCCTGAGGGGGCCGCGCTCCGGCCGGACCCTCCCGGCCCACCCGTGCCCGGGAGACGCGCGCTCGCGGGAGGACGCCGTGCCTCGCGCTCCGGCTCGTCCTCCCGAAAGTTAGGGTTCTGGGGGCACTTGCGCGCTGTCAGGCGCTTTGGAGAAGAATCAGGAAATAATTTATAAAATATAATCATATAGGAAAGAATAATACCAGAAAGAAACATATAACAATATCAAAAGTGGGATATTTATAGATGGAGGGATCAGGTACTTTTTTAAAAATAACTTTGTTGGCCCATAAATATGTACAACTATTATGTATTAATAAAAAAAACTATTAAAAACCTTCTTTGAGGTATAATTAACATGATTACATTCACCCATCTTAATTGTACAATTCTGAGATTTTTAATAATTTATCCATTTTTTGGTAATTTATTGTTGTGCACCACCATCATAATCTAGTTTTGAACACTTCCATCACTTTGGGTGCTTTCTTTTTCTTCATAGTGGTTAATGTTTAATATGAAAAATAATTATTCAAACTGTCAGTAGTTCTGCTTAAGTATTTGTTTTTGAAGATGATCATTGGAGATGCAAACAAAGATTTGCACATAAGGATGATCACAGCTTTTTTGATACCAAAATTTATTATAGAAATGATTTAATTTTCCAACAATAAATCTTTCATTTATAGTACACACTGAATATAGCCTCTCTTAAAAGTGTTTTCCAAGAATGTTTAATGATAAAATGCTAACGATACGATGCTGACTGATAATGGCAGGACGAGTGTGACATATGTAGTATGATTTCATTGTGATGATGATGTGTGTTACAGCACATAGACGTAGAAAAAAGCAAAACAAGGTGTTAACGTGGCCTCTAGGTTTTGAGATTATTTTGTTGTTAATTCAGTTCTGAATTTTCCACAGTTGAGCATGAATTACTTTTCTAGAAAACATTTTTAAAAGAACAGGTCACAGGACCTAAGAACACACCCGGGACAGATCCTCAGGTGGGCCTTGGCCAGCCTAGGCAGAGGTGTGGTGTCACATAGGGACTGTCCTGAACATTGTTAAAGATTACAAGTTTTAGTGTATTGTCTGTTTTTTAACTACCAGAGATTCAGAGTACGATAGATTATTCCAAATGGTGTGGTCTAATATCTTACCCTTCCTATCTACAAACGGATGCTAATTATTAATCAATCTGAATGTAAGAGGCAATGAACAAATATGAAATTAGTAAATGTTAATGCTATGGAAAGGCAGCGTTAAATCAGGGCACTTCAGTTTAACCAGACTGCATAAGAAAGAGAAAAAAATGTGAACCCTTAATTTGTTCATTCACAGGACAGATATCACGTGCCCTATGCCTTGGGTTGGGGGGTTACAGTGTTGGGGGGGTGGGTTGTGGGTCCCAGGGAGAGGGCTGGCATATGTGAAGGCGTGGAAGACCAAGCCTTGGGTTTCACCCCCCTGAAGGAAAAGCCAGCCGTGTGGCCGTGACAGAGTGGGACAGAGTGCAGGGAGGGCAGGGCCGGGCAGCTGGCAGGGTCAGGCTGGAGACACCCGCTGGCCCTTGAACCATGATAAGCAATTTGTATTTTAATTGAAATGTAACTTTCTTTTTCTTTTAGCGTATTATGGGGGTACAAGTGTTAAGGTTACTTATATTGCCCATGGCCCCCTCCCCCCTCGAGTAAGAGCTTCAAGCATGTCATCCCCCAAATGTTGCACATCTTACTCCTTGTGGTTGTATACACCCATCTCCTCCTCCCCCTCCCACCCTCCCGACACCCGATAAATGTTACTCCTATATGTCCACTTAGGTGTTGATCCGTTAATACCAGTTTGCTGGTGAGTACATGTGGTGCTGGTTTTCCCATTCTCGAGATACTTCACTTAGTAGAATGGGTTCCAGCTGTATCCAGGAAAATACAAGAGGTGTTATATCACCGAAATGTAACTTTCAAAAAACAAGGTTCCTCAAGCTACAGTGTGCAGAAGTTGGAGTCAGGACTCCACTCACGGGGACACGGGCCAGGGTGGCAGCGGCGTGGACAAGCGCTAGAAAAAGGCTGTATTTGGGGGCAGCGATGGCTGGAGATGCGGCTGGTGGGGGAGGGGCTGGAGGTGCCTGCAGTCAAGGACAGCACCGGGAGGCTTGAGAGGCCATCTGGACGGTGATAGTCCATTCCCAAGAGCCAGGCGGGTGGCCTAGGTTGGGAATGCCTCACCCTCTGGGGCGGGGACAGAACTGGAGGCCTGGTGTCCCCAATGGGTGCCAGCACCCAGCAACCACGGGGCAGAGGGACTGGGTAGGGCTGGGGGAGCTGGACGGCCACGGGCAGGCGGAGCACGGGAGGACAGCTCCAAGTGGCTAGTGTCGCATCCGCTGCTGCAACCTGTCCCCTGAGAACCTGCTCCATTGCCACGGCCTGCCTCGGAGTGCGACACCACTCCGGCCCCTAAAAAGTGACAAATAGCTGCTAGGAATTAAATCCAACATCTCACCATTTGTTAGTTTATTGTTAAATACACATTTCAATTCAAAATATGCTTGTTTTTCATAGAAGAAATTCTTTTCTATATGTGAGAATGTGTGGTACAGTGAAAGAGTTAATTAGCCTCCAGTGTGTACACACACATTCCACTTAAACATAAGTTGTGTGTTTTTATCACCAGTTATTCAGTTCTCCTCCAGAAGAGCTTAAGAGAAACTCGCATAACTAGTGAGTGTCTTCTGATTGATAGAATTATACATAAAAACCCGTGGTTTCCCTGTCACACATAATGCCAATTTTAAATTAGAAATAAATGCTTCTGTGTTCCTGAGCCACACACTTGATCTGTGACTGAAGTCTGTCATGTTTTCATTAAGATGTATATTATGAGCTGTACAAAGATATTTTTGGTGTCATAATATTAGCCAGAAAAGCTAGAAATGATTCTAAAGCAAACACATATTGCAAGCCAGGAGGGCGTTCGGTTTTTGCTATGACGTGATTGCATTGTGTTTACAATAATGCCCAATTTTCCAACGCTTTGCATGTAGAACAATTCTAAATTCACTGTCATTACAAGTTACTTAAAAGAGACTCCTTAGAACGATGACTTGAAACTTTTTCTCCCACAGGATGACTGTGGGGATCTTTGCAAATTGTACCTTCTGTTTGAAAGTCAAGTCCTTACCTCGGCAGCAGAAGAAAAAGCTACAAACTGACATTACGGAAAATGGTGGAAAGTTTTCCCTTTTATTAAATCCTCAGGTATTTCCCAAAATATCATAAAGTGCTGTATGATAAACACCGTGCGTTCAGGGAACGTGGGTCTGGGTTAGAAGAGAAAACAGAGAAGATTAGCAGCAGCAGGAGACAGTGAGAGAGCCGTGGGCCACACATGGCAGGAGAAGCTCTGATGCAGCCCGTGGGAGGCTGGGCCCCGAGAGGCACAGGGAGGCCCAGTGGCTCCCCAGGCTGCAGGACAGTCATTCTGCATGCCCCATGAAGCAGATATTATTAGAGCCCAGCCAAAGACAAAAATAGAAAGAATTTCAGCCCCTGTGCACAGCCCCAGCAGACGGACCAGAACCACTCCGTGGTGGATGGCGCCATATCAGGGAGGAGCACTGGTCATTTGTTTGTGGAAACCACAAAAAGGGAGGGGCAGTCAGGAGGCTGGTTGAGATCACAGCCTTTCCAAAGAGCTGGTTTCCCTGTGGCCCTGGGTTTCTGGTTAGCAAGAGAGGGGGTACAATGAGGTGTATCTGACCTCCTGCCTGTCATGGCCAGGAACTCAGTTTTAAGATTTTTCTGGAGTCCCCTTCAGTCAGTTGGGAGACTTAGGATTTTATTTTTATTTCCCCCTCATATTCCTCAGGCTGCTCTGTGCCACTTTTCTTTCTCAGCCCCCACAGACTCAAACACAAGCTTTAGGTGCTGTTCGTCAAGGCACTGTCAGGACCGAGCATGGTGTGCTGTGACTTGTTACTGTTATTGCTATAAAAAAAAACACATACGCTCATTATTAGTTTTAAAACATAGAAAGAATTTCAGGCCAGCCAAATCTATTCTTGAATGAGAAAAGTCGTAGTGCACAGTGTTTGCAAAAAGCACCCTGTAGTGATTCACCAGTATTATCAACCCTGGAATGACATTTATAAGCAAGGCTCCTAGGGGCAGAAAGACATGTCACTCGAACTGATCTTTGTGGTGTGGCTCGTGCTGCTTGTTTTATCTGTTTAAAGGCTAAGCTGCTTCCATCTGTTGAAATGAACTGTAGGCCTGACAGATGTAGAATTTCACAGATGGATGAAATCTTGGAAATAATTAAGCTGAACTTCCTCTTTTATAACCATCTCATTGTAAGAAGTGAAAATGGAAGTCCAAATGCATCAGGCGCCAGGGCTGCCTGCCCCTGTGGTTGGCCCTTCCCTCTCCTGATGGACGGAGGAGCTGACTCAGCCTGCCCCTCCCTGGACCTCAGCCCTGGGTCTTGGCCACAGGGAGCCTCATCTGTCCTGTGAAGTGCATTCAACTCAAGCTGAATCCCAAAGATGGAATTAGAGTGTGTATACCAACATTGTAAAGAAGGAGACAGCTCTGTATGTAATGATAAGGAATGATCACCAAGATAAATTAAGTGGAAAAGCTCGGAAGAGTGTAGATATTTTACTATGCTGCCATTTGTCTATGTGTAGAATAGCTCTGGCAGGATGCACAAGGAGCAAGTTATAGCCCATGTCTCTGGGGAGAGGAACTGGGAACAACAGTGGAGAAGAAGTTAACATACCATCATTACCATTGTACTTTTTAGACATTCTACAGTGTGCATGTACTGTTTATCCAACACTAAATAAAATTACAAATCAACAAAATAAATAAAAAATAAGTGTTGAACCTCCCTTCCCACTCCTAAGGAAATAATTGAACAAGTGCACAAAGATGTGTACCTGAAGATGTTCCTCACAGCATTGTGTACAATAGTGAAAATCTAGAAATAACCACCAGGGTTGGTTCACCAATTATGGTACAGCCATCTCAATGTTCTTTATTTTATTTTATTTTTTATTTATTTTTTTCTATATTTTGGTTATTTTAAAAGTAATAAATATTTCTGCCTTTTCACTTTTTACTTTTAGTTAGCATGCCTAAATCAATGTTCTTTAAAAATGTTTGATGGTTAAAATTTTTACATAATTAAAAATTGTATTCTTTATAAATTTTTTAGAAATCTTAGAAAAATTATCATGAACAACCTTAAAATAAGTTTTTTTTTTTTTTTTTTTGAGACAGAGTCTCGCTTTGTTGCCCAGGCTAGAGTGAGTGCCGTGGCATCAGCCTAGCTCACAGCAACCTCAAACTCCTGGGCTCAGCCATCCTCCTGCCCAGCCTCCGAGTAGCGGGACTACAGGCATGCGCCACCATGCCGCTAATTTTTTTGTATATGTATTAGTTGGCCAATTAATTTCTTTCTATGTATAGTAGAGACGGGGTCTCGCTCTTGCTCAGGCTGATTTCGAACTCCTGACCTCGAGCAATCCGCCCACCTCGGCCTCCCAGAGTGCTAGGATTACAGGCGTGAGCCACCACGCCCGGCCTAAAATAAGACTTTTTAAGGGTGAAAATTACAGCTACAAATTATTTAGATTTTGTTTTTTCTGCTGCATAATGGATTGACTCTTTTTTTCTTCTCTGTTTTTCTTAGTGCACACATATCATATTAGACAATGCTGAGATTGTCTCAGACAGTGTTCTGAGTCGGTACCAACTGAGCTCTATCCAAAAGAACCACATTCATATAGCAAACCCAGATTTTATATGGGAATCTGTCAAAGAAAGGAGACTCTTAGATGTAAAGAATTATGATCCCAGGAAGTCACCAGACATCACACCATATCCTGATCAAAAGGCGAGCGGTTCTGGTAAGTACACTTAATGTGTTAGAGGTGCTATAAATAAACATTTGGGTTTGTCGGAGATATTAGAGACAGAATTGTCTAGAAATACTACAAAAACAATTAGACATCTTATTACCTCAGAAATTGGACAGTGAAATAGTAAAGGACAAAAGACTACTTTAGCAATAGAAATAGACTTCTTAATACCGAGTTTACTGTAGTCAGATTTAAGATTACCACAAAAACACTAATCATCTCAGAAAACTTGATTGTCATTTTAACTGGGGGTGGGGGGAAGTGGGGAGTCTTTGTGTTAAAAAATTGTTGCCACAACTTAATGGCTGGAAATTTTATGACCAGCATTTTGCTAAAGAAGTTGATCTCTCAAAAGAAACTCCTTTATAAACCCAGATTTTGATTTTGGAGTCTGGCCAAGAAGAAAGGCTTTGGACATAGAGAAATGCACTCCTCATGAGTCACATCAAAAATCAAGCAGTTCTGGGCCAGGCACGGTGGTGCATGGGGTACCCCTTTAATCCTAGCACTTTGGGAGGCCAAGGTGAGATGATCACTTGAGGCCAGGAGTTGGAGACCAACATAGCTAGACTCTGTCTCTACAAAAAAATAGAAAAATTAGCCAGGCATGGTGGTGCCCACCTGTAGTCCCAGTTACTTGAGAGGCTGAGGCAGGAGGATCACTTGATCCCAGGAGTTTGAAGTTGCAGTGAGCTATGATGACGTGATGGCACTCTACCTGGGTGACAGAGTGAGACCCTGCCTTAAAAAAACAAACCCCAAGCAGTTCTGATATACATTAAATTGGAGTAAGCATATGGCATATGTTAGATATCATAATAACGTGGAAGGGTGAACCCTCTTCAGGCAAGGAGTCACCCAGAAATGCTGCCACAGTCATCAGACTTTTTTGCTGCCTCAGAAAATGGTAGTTAAAACAGAAATAGGCAAAATAATAGACTTCTTTCACATTGAAAACATATTGTTCAACATCCAGAATAGTTTATTCAGTTTCAGAATTACTACAAATGCACTGATGAGCTTTGAAATCTTGGTAGTATAATAAAACTGGAAAGAAATGCTTGCATTAAAAGAGTTATTCCTGTATATCATGATGCTATAGATAGTGTTATAACTCTTCTATAGGAAAAATATGAAGCAGAAGCTCACGAAGAACCCTTGAATTTCTCTTCTCTGTAAATTGGAACATCCCCAGCCCCTTCATTTGTGACATGAGGGCCCTTAGGAACTCATTCTGATCCTATAGTATATTAGAAACGCATTTTATAACTATGCTTACCATACTCTTCAGAAAAGTGCCACTCTAAAATTGAGTTGCAAATAATACCAATTCGAATTCTCCTCATAGGCCTATTAAAATGGAATTAGAATATGTTCTCACTATCCTATACACCTTCCTCTTTTACTGGTATTGTCCTTAATTACCAGGAACCATGACTAAAAAATCAGAATAACATAGCAAATATGGTCTATATCCATGAGTGCTAACAGTTCAGCAGTTAGGTTAACTCATTATGATAAACCTTTGAGCAGTGAACAAGTGTTTTGTTTGCTTTAATCCTAGAAGCGAAAACAGACGATCTATCCCTGGACGATCTATCCTTGGACGATGCCTCAGAGAAGGAAAACATTGTGGAATTCACTAAGTAACTTACCTCTGATCTATAGGACTCTACAGAGTTTGCAAAATGTTTTGTAAACCTCAGGCACAGTACTAAAATACTATTCGTAGACTTTTGTAGTATTTTATTTTGTTTAACTCTTTAGTAAGTGTTTAAGACTTTTTACTTTAACTAGTATAGTGGTAATTATTTTTATCTTCTCAGTATTATATGAGCTTGAATGTAATTGTTAGATTAATTGATTTTGCAAAAGAAAAGCCACTGGCAGTAAGACTTGGGCAGCCTGCTCACTCTGTGATTTTCCTGAGCAGCCTTTAGGGTAAAGACAGTTGGGGCGGGTGTGGTGGCTCGTGTCTGTAATCCCAGCACTCTGGGAGGCCGAGGCGGGCGGATTGCTTGAGGTCAGGAGTTCGAAACCAGCCTGAACAAGAGGGAGACCCCGTCTCTACTATAAATAGAAAGAAATTAATTGGCCAACTAACATATATAGAAAAAATTAGCCGGGCATGGTAGCACATGCCTGTAGTTCCAGCTACTCGGGAGGCTGAGGCAGCAGGATCGCTTGAGCCCAGGAGTTTGAGGTTGCTGTGAGCTAGGCTGATGCCATGGCACTCACTCTAGCCTGGGCAACAAAGTGAGACTCTGTCTCAAAAAAATTTAAAAAATAAAGTTATATATGGCTTCGTAAAGCTTGCCCAAAACTGCAGTGTTAATTGGGCACCACACTTGATCTTATTCCATTGTTAGTGTTTAAAGAGAACCAAATCCAAAATAGCAAGTACAGATGTGAGCAGTCCGACTCCTTGCTTTAAAGAGGAGTTGACTGTGGTCCAGAGAGGCGTGACACGGTTCTGCGGGTCAGACCCAAGGCAAGCTCCAGTGGCTGGGCTCCAGGGGCACGGCCGGTTCCTTTCCTGCCCCTGCCGCGTGCACCTGTCCTTCTTGCGCAGGCGCGGCAGTCCTGGCCATTAGCGCTGGGAATTGTGCAGGGGAAAAACCCGGCTGTCGTCACACAGCCCTGAACCATTTCTAGAATACCTGAGGAGGCGTTAAAGACTCATAATGTATTTCCTAAGGAATTAGGAGATCTACAGGATAAATTTTGTGTTTAGCCCAAGATCCATTTTAATGTAAAAATTTTAATTATACACTGTGCTGGCTTCAGGTTTTCTACAGAAGATGTTGAAATTCCTCATTTTCCTCAAGATTTTGAAGTTGCAAAATATAACACCTTGGAAAAAGTAAGAGTCTGATTTCTATCTAGCAAAAAGCCACAATTGTTGGAGTGTGTTCCAAGTGTTTTTCCTGTTCATTTTCTCTTCGTTTTGAAAAATTGTGCATATCCTGAATATCATATATTCCTTAAAATATGAGTTGATTTTTAATAGTCAAGAAAAGTTTGGTGTTTAAATTTTAATGTCTTATTATAAAAGTAATGCATGCTCATTTAAAGATGTAAAGCAGTGTAACATATTAGCGTGGCATTGAAAATAAAAATCCTTGGCCAGGTATGGTGACTTACACCTGTAATCCTAGCACTCTGGGAGGCGGAGGTGGGAGGACTGCTTGAGGTCAGGAGTTCGAGACCAACCTGAACAAGAGTGAGACCCTGTCTCTACTAAAAATAGAAAAATTAGCTGGGCTTGGTGGTTCGAGCCTGTAGTCCCAGCTACTTGGGAGGCTGAGGCAGGAAGATTGCTTGAGCCCAAGAGTTTGAGGTTGCGGTGAGCTACGATGACACCACTGACTCTAGCTTGGGCAACAGAGCAAAATTTATTTCAAAAAAAAAAAAAAGAAAAAAGTAGTCCTCTTCCTTGATATTAACAGTTTCTTGTATTTGGAAAAGGTAGATTTGACAAGTATTACACCATGTCAAATTTTCCATTCCTTTTGCATTGAAAAGAAAAACAAAATTTTTTTTAACAAAGTCACACAAATGAAAATAAACACTAGTGCCATACACTACAAACATATACAGATATTTCTATAGTAAAAAAAAAAAAGGAGGGAAAATACCAAAATATTAATAGTGATTATATATCTGTGGTAAGATTTCAGGTGATTTTTTTTTTTTTTTTGAGATACAGTCTTGAACTCCTGAACTCAAAAGATCCTCCCACCTCGGCCTCCCGGAGTGCTAGGATTACAGGTGTGAGCCACCTCAGAGGCCATTATTTAAATTTTCTTCTTGATACTTTTTAAATTATGAATCTGATGTATTGAGAACATGCATTACTTGATAATCATAATCAACATTTCCAAATGGTACGTGTGATTTGTTATTTCCCTAGTGCACCTTCTGAAAGCATGTCCTGTTTTTCAGGTGGGCGTGGAGGGAGGCCGCGAAGCCGTGGTGGTGGAGCTGCAGTGCTCCCAGGACCCCGGGGACTGTGCTTTTCTGATATCCGCGCACTTCCTGGCAGACGGCATGCAGGTACTGCTGTTGATGTTGACGCCTGTGTTGATCCGCCCCTGTTCATAACTAGTTTCCTTAAAGTTGGTCAACAAACCAGGCAGCCTGCTAACCTTTTTCTTCTTTCCTGGTATCTTAGCTCAGGCTGCCTCAACAAATGCCATAGCCTGAGGGGTCAAACAACAGACGTTTATTTCTTTCAGTGCTGAAGGCTAGAAGTCCACGATCAAGTGCAACACATTGATTTCTTTGAGGCCTCTGTCCTTGGCTTGCAGCTGGCCACCTTCTTGCTGTGTCTGCACTTGGTCTTCCCCTGTGGGTATCTGTGTCCTAATCTCCTCTTCTCATGAGAACACCAGTCATATTGGATCAGGGCCACCGTTATGACCTTATTTAGCTTAACTAATTACCAAATACAGTCCCATTTTGAGGTATTAGGGGTCAGGGCTTGAACATATATACATTTAGTGGGGGCCCAGTTTAGCCCGTAACACCTGGTAAAGTGTAAACGTGTTCTCTTTTGGAAAATGGGAGGTGAGGATCTTGCCCCCTGAATAGAGCGGCATGGGGTCCTGCCAGAAGAGAATAGTCACTGGGTGTAGGGCATGTGGGATTCCTGTTCTCTCTTGTTCCACATCACTTACGGGATATTTTCCTAATGTTCACAACTCTAAAAGCAATCCCCTGACAGACTTCATTCAGTGCCTGCCATTGACCAAGCAATGTACCAGGGCCAGGACCCAAAGATGAAAATGCTTCACACCCTGACCCTCAGGAGTCACCGTCTGTACGGAAGCAACACAGGCGTCGTTACAAACCCCTGTGACAGCTCCAATCCTGAAATGTATGTGCAGCATCTACGGCTCAGGGTCACAGGGCCCCGGGAATGGCAAGGGAGGCTTCACAGGCGCCATGACCTGTGCCCTAGGTCACTGTCAAGTCCAGAACACATTTCCAATCTAAAACAATCAGCAAGCAGAAATAGATTCAGAATTAATGCCTGAAGTTCAAATAAAATGATGCAATGCCTAAGAGGGTGCCTATCACCTAGGCATTCAGACCCACAGGTCTCCCGTGGGCCAGGAAACGCAGTTGCCTCTGAGTGGGAGCGGCCCCCACAGCGGTCCCTGAGGCTCGGGAAGCATCTCGCTCTGCCCCCACACAGGTGTCAGCTCAGGTACGGGGGAAGGAGAGTCACAGCAGGTGGACATGAGTTCCTATCCCCACAGGAGCCCATGTCTCTTGTGACGGTAGCCTAGGTTCCAGATGCTCTTATGGGATGTGCCCAGTTATCCCATCGCAGTTAGCAGTCCTCTCAGAGAAGCCCAAAGCCCCCACCATGAACTCTCAGTCCCGGTCAAGTTTATCAATGAGGAGTCACTGTTACCTAAGCAATTACAATAATATTACAGCTGACATTCTGCCTTTATCAGGTTGCTATGCTATGGGAACAAAACTAGAACGTCAGTCCGGGGTCACAAGTGGGAAAGAAGGAGAAAGGGTTTTGTTAACGTTGTGCCCAGGAAACGTGCACTATGTTTTGTGGAGGGTTTAGTTGTTTGGGTAGAGAGTAAGCAAGAATCAAGTTGAAAATCGCGATAGGATGTGTTATCATTTTTTTCCTTCATTCAAAAAGAAAGCTGTCGTGCTGCCTGGGCCACCCGTCCCTTGGTCCCTTCGTCCCTTCGTCCCTTCGTGGTACCTTCCTCCCCTAGCAAGCCTGAGCCTGAGAACGTTTCCCAGGTGAGCCTGGTTTGTGGAGAAGGGAAGCCCGTCCACCTCGACACAAATCACCCTCTTCCAAGCAGCAGGGAAAGGATGTTCTGCAGAGGAGGATTTTCCAGCTTGCCTTTCTCCTTGATAGAATCACTCTGAGGGACATCTTGCAAAATCATGTTAAACTCTATCTTCTTAAATGGAATGACTCCACACACACTACTTTTTTTTTGAGACAGAGTCTCACTGCGTTGCCCAGGCTAGAGTGCCGTGGCATCAGCCTAGCTCACAGCAACCTCAAACTCCTGGGCTTAAGCCATCCTCCTGCCTCTCAGCCTCCCGAGTAGCTGGGACTACAGGCATGTGCCACCATGCCCGGCTAACTTTTTCTGTATATATTTTAGTTGTCCAATTAATTTCTTTCTATTTTTAGTAGAGATGGGGTCTCGCTCTTGCTCAGGCTGGCTTCGAACTCCTGACCTTGAGCGATCCGCCTGCCTCGGCCTCCCAGAGTGCTAGGATTACAGGCGTGAGCGACCGCGCCCGGCCCACACGCACTTCTTTATTCCAAGTTTGAGAGGCGTCCTGCAGCCACCGCCTGGCAAGTTTTGGCAGTGTGCTGGGTAGTGTGACTTCCCCGGGGGCTGCACACCCCCGAGCCACCCCCTTGGCCAACACCTACAAGGACACCAGGGCTGGGGCAAGTTCCCCCATATTCTCTGGGGTCCATGTTAGGATAACTGCTCACTACAGGAGCAGGGATGTCTGTAAAGAGCAGAAAACGCCACTTCCATAGATAGTGTGGAAAGACAGAGGGATGTGTCCCTCTCCAAAGGACCCCCTACTGTGCCTTGAACCCTAACCTAATGGCTTTCCTGCCTTTCTCCTGGCTGGACGCTATTAACTGGCTTTGATTGAGTGCCCATTTCCAACAGTAGCTCCTTTCTGAGGTATTTTCCTTTTCTCCTCTTCCTCTGACTTACGTTTCTCATTTCCAAAGAGCTGGGAAGCCAGATTCCAAAGCTACGTAAATGGTTTGTAAAACAAGAGTCTGTGGGCTCTGAATGAATGTTTGAGTGACTCTGGGTGAATCAAATAGGTCTTTTCTATCTGTTGTGCCTTCTTGAGCTTTCCCCCCTCGTATCTCCAAGTTTTAGGCTATTTTGCGAAGAACTGAAAATGTAAGTAATTCCCTGAAAAAACTAGTCTTAAACTCCTTCATGGCAGGGACCTAATTAATGCTTTACTGTGCCTGGTACATTGTGAGTGTTCAGTAAAGATAGATACGTAAATAATCACTGCACATTTGCTTGTACTGTCATTCACAGCATAGAAGAGAGTTCACTGTAAAGAAAACCTCTGCAGACGCCAGTGAATACTATGAAGAGTACATTGAGGAGCTGAAGGACCAAGGATTTCTACTAAGAGAACATTTTACACCCGAGGCAACCCAATTAGCATCTGAAAAATTGCAAGGGGTAAGACTGGTTTATACGCATTACTTTGTGTTACTGATCGAATATTTCCAACAGAAATGTTTTTGCTTTTACAAATAGAAAACTGGCAGGAGGGCAGAGGAGTTAAGAAAGGGACAGGTGAGGCATGTGGCCCTGAGTGGGGCCCGGCCCGGAGCTGAGGGACACTCTACTCTGGGCTGCCAGGGCGGTACGTCAGAGCCAGGGTAGGGCTGAGGCGCTGCGGTACCACCAGGCGCCGGTATTTAAGAGATTCTGGCATCTGAAACCCACGATGTTAAAAAATGGCATTTTCGTAATAACATTAAGGATCATTCCATTGATCTTCCTAGAAAAAAGATCTCTAATTTCACTAATAAGAATATGAAGGAGGTTAAGAAATCTCCAACACGGTTGGCTGCTTATAAGAATAGAACAGTGAGCAAGCCGTTGGAAGAGCAGATAAACTGCCTAAGGTGATCTGTCACAGAAAGGAAGCTCATCATCCCTTTCCAGATCCTTGTTACAGAAAAAAACAGTCCCCTCAAAGTGTGGGCATTGACGTGGCACATAAAGAAAAAGAACTGGCTCATGCAGGCCACTCGCCTGAAAAGTCAGGCCATGGTAGTCGACCGTGCTTGATTAGCTCCCACGGTTCTAGTCCTTCACAGACAGCCCATCATCAAAGTATAGTGGGTTTCTTTCTGAGGACCATGAAACAGTGGCTCAAGTTTTGTGCAGTAGGAATTTGAGATTGAACGTAGCTTTAACTTACTGGAGAAAGAGGAGTCTAAGTGAACTTGCAGCTTGGAGCGTGGTGGATTGCCTTCCTGCACTTTCCAGGGAGAAAAACAATGTACCTCGCTCTGCTGCTGTGTAGATTTGTTGCCTCTAGTGAAGTCACTACATACCAGCAGATTTGAAGAACATGTAATAGTCAGTTTCAGCTGGCTTCAAGCAGTCATAAAAGGTGATGGTCAGAACTGTCATCCAAAACAGAAATGATAAATGATGGAAATATTCAGATTTTAAAACAGCAAGTAAGTGGGTTATGGGAGCAGAAAACCATCTTACCTTGGTTGCAGGATACACTGGTAACATAGCTAAGGACAGAGATGTGTGATTATTACAGTTTCCTTGAGAGGTTTCGTCTACTAGAGACCACTTGGTTATTCAAAACATCCCTGGACTATTCACAAAGAAAGGTCTCCTCTGAGAACTGTTAACGGTGGAAGAAACCACAACCATTTTTCCTTTCAAAAAAGCCACGTACTAAAACCACTAATGAAACCCTAACAATCTACTTCACACTGAAGCAGGAAAATACCCAAAAGAAGCAGCTTCCCTGAGGTGAGACGGCACCAGGATTGCTCACCTTTGCTGCACTGGGGATTTATATGGTTCTTTGGGAACATTGTTTAAGAACTACTGGGTCTCAGTGCAATCCTGTGTAAGAACTAATGTAACTATGTGAAAAAATAAGACAGGACTTATTACTGGGAACCACAAAGACCAATCATCATTCCCTTTTTTTAAGATTGTGTTTTATAAAAAAGTACATAAATATGTGCAGCTATTTTCTTATGTTGAAAAGACTGAAAGTTAAAAACATCATAGCAAAATTCAATATTAAACATTTTTGTCCACACTAAGATACTATGTATGCAAAATGCCTTAATTATTAATAAGCCAGTGTGTTACGACACCAATATCTGTTTAAAAAATTAAAACCAAGCATTCCTCTGGCAGGATAAAATCGTGGGATTAAATCAGGGGTTTACGTTCATGTAGAAAGTTGTTGAAACGTATTCCACACCATTTTTAAAGCTTGAGAATATTTTTAGTGTCTCAAGATTTTTTTTCCAGCATCATGTCACATATGTATGTGTTATCTCCATATAAAGAAAAAAGTGAATATGTATGAATGTTTAAGTGGATATGTCCATGGACTTGGCTAATTTATATTCACTTTTTATTGTATGTAGATTTCTAATATTTTTCATTTCTGTATCACTTAGACTTCTTTCATTTGAGTAAATTCACTAAATATTTCCAAGAAAAGAAGAAGAAAAACCCACACACAGACAGGCATGGAAGCTGAGTGGGGAGTGAGTTCCAAGGCAAGCCACGGATTAGTTTAATAGGCGACAGACCCTCACAGATTTTGAAAGATTTCATTCCAAGACAGAGGAAAGCCCAACGGAGAGGGTTAGGTTACCTGGCTGAGGGTGACTGTCCTAGGCTATAGTTAGTTGTTTCTTCTCACCCCTCTCATGGCTTTTTAGCGGCGTTTCTTTGTTATTTTGTCGTTGCAGTTGCTTTTGGAGGAGGTCATCGATTCAAGCACTCTGAGCCGAGAGGTGGGCGATCTGGTGGAGATGATTTGGGCGGAAGCCCTGGGCCACCTGGAGCACATGCTCCTCCAGCCCGTCAGCAGCATCAGCCTCAACGATGTAAGTCAAGTGTGTCGTGGGAACGGAACACGGCAGACCTGCTTCCCGGCCTGTTAGCTTAAATAACAACGCTTAGAGCTGCGTGCCGGTCCGATGGCTCTGGAATTCAGCCCTCACTGTTCTTCCCTTTTACCCTGAAGAAAGGGACACTAAGAGCGCTAAGGAGAACATATATCTCCGAGAAAACTAGACATCCCCGTCTATAAAATGTCAGCAGCCACAAGAGCTGATCCGAGGTTGGCTTCTGCTGCCGGTGAATGAGCGGGCCCGACCCGCTGGGCCAGGAGGTTTGCAGGAGGCCTGAGGGACACGGACGGTCTTGGTCCCCAGTTAGAGTCCCAGGCCCTAACCCACTTCACAGTGACTTCACCGTCTTGTGCCTTCTGACTGTCCTAGGAAAGGCAGGCATGCTTCCGGCCCACCAGGAAGCGCTCTTCTCTTCTTGATTACGTATAGTTGCAATGAAAGAGCAAATGAAAGATGTCCCCTACGGTGCTACTTGTGCAACTGCGTTACCATAGCAAAATAATACGGGCACATTTCCTCTATGGAGTTTAACTAATCTATCTCAGGGAGAAAAAGGTTTCTTGGCGTAAAGTCCATGAAGTGCTTGTGTAATTGGAAACACGTTCAGGAGGTTTTTTGCCCCTGGTTTGATTGTGACATTGATTTCTCATGTGAAAAGCACGCCTCCCACAGTTGCGTTAGTGCTCCTCCTCCCTCTGTACACGTGGCAACATGTGTACAGAAATATAAGACTCTGGCTCTTTCCTCTAGTTTAGCTGAGCCCGGTTTTGGAAGAATCCTTGAGACAGCTGAGCTGTGTCTCCAATAAAGGTCAGCATTTGGGCCGGGCGCGGTGGCTCATGCCTGTAATCCTAGCACTCTGGGAGGCCAAGGCAGGCGGATTGCTCGAGGTCAGGAGTTCAAAACCAGCCTGAGCAAGAGCGAGACCCTGTCTCTACTATAAATAGAAAGAAATTAATTGCCCAACTAATATATATATAGAGAAAAAATTAGCCGGGCATGCCTGTAGTCCCAGCCACTCAGGAGGCTGAGGCAGGAGGATCGCCTGAGCCCAGGAGTTTGAGGTTGCTGTGAGCGAGGCTGATGCCACGGCACTCACTCTAGCCTGGGCAACAGAGCGAGACTCTGTCTCAAAAAAAAAAAAAAAAAAAAAACCGCATTTGCTTTGTGTGGCTGTCCATTAAAAAACAGATAATTGCCCAACAATTATTTTAGATGTTTTTTGTGCACTCTCCCTACTTCTTCTGTGATTATCGAGATTTCGCTTTAATAAGCGTATGTGATCTTGTGTTTAAAGGTGAGCAAGGCAGAGGGAATTCTCCAGCTGGCAAGGGCAGCGCTGAAAACTGGAGAGACGGCAGAGCAGTTGCAGAAGACGATGGCTGAGTTCTACAGGCTGATCCCTCACAGAGCTCCAGCGCCCGAGGAGATTAACCTGGGACTGCTAGCTAAGAAAGAGGACCTTTGCCAGGTAAACCTCTGAAGTACAGAATTCAGTTTAAAATATGTTGGTAGGGGGGAGGATCTTTAAAGATATGACGAATAAAACTGAATCACAAGAGTCGTCTCCAGATTTGTGCTCAAAAACAAATTATTGTACCGTTTCTGAATGCTCTGAGTCCACCCATAAGTTACTTAAACCATATTCCCAGATGTGACCGTGTTGGCATCGTGCTGCAAATGCAGAACTGTGTTTAGAATCGCTACGTCGTGAAATGACTTCCCAGACCCTGAGATTAGTTAGGATTCTCTCTGGAGAAGAAATGGAAAACTGCAGCTGACTCAAACAGTTTGTGACCATGCACTATAAAAAGACCAGCTGTGGGCTGGTTGCTGTCCCAGGTCACCCTGTGACTCAGTTACTCAGAGTTACGCTGAGGGTCCCCGCCTCCTTCCGTCTCTCTGTGCTTCCTGTACAGCGGCCCTCCGCCCGCAGCCCGGCTCCCTCACGGTGCGTGACTGCGGTGGCTCGGAGCATCCCATGGGGAATGTTTATTTTTGTGTCTCCTAGAGGAAGACGCTGGCAGACTCGTATTTCTCTGGTCAGAGTTGAGTCTTGTGCACATCCTACACCAGTGTCTGGTGAGGAAATGGAGTTACTGTGGCTGCTCAGAGCGGGCCAGTTCCCCCTCGCCGAGGGGAAGGGGCGGAGCTGGGTTAGCAAAGAGGGAGGAGGTGGCCCCTGCTGCCGTGGACAAGGCCACGGACACTCTGTGGGTCTGAATTGCCTCATCTGTGCCTGAAGGGGTTGTGACAAGCTCAGAGATCCATAACCTAGTCTTCAGAGGAGTCCGTGGATGTGGAATTTTGCATGTTTGGGAGGAATGACAGCTTTCAACAGATTCCCAGAGGAGCCAGTAATCCAAAATAAGGAAAGAACCAGTAAATGGGAAGATGTAGGACTTTCCAAATTTAAAAGTGTAGATTTACCTAACAATAAAGAATCTCATCATCAGTTTTGCTAAGAGGGAACATGGTGCCCATCCAAATACTTTTTAATTTAAATTTATATTTTGAACAGATAATAACATCTACATGAGTCAAAAGCCAAAATTACATTAAAAAGATGCACTCAGAGAAATCTCTGTTCTACCCTGTCCTGTCTACCCCACTCCCATCCCCCACTCTAACAGGGAGCCATTTTTATTAGTTTCATTTCATCTTTGCAGAGTTTCTTTATATATTTATTAAAATATATTATTATTATTCTAAATTTTACATAACTTGACTATCTTTGCTGTCCTGCATCTTGCTTTTCTCAATATATCGTATACACGGAGGTCATCCACGTTCTCATATCCCACCGTGGGGACCTGCCATGTGTATCTCAGGCATTTGGATTGTTGCTGGATTCCGCTACAACAAACAATGCCACAGTGAATAACCTGGTGTATTTGTCACTTCATCCTTGGACAGGAGTATGCCAGGGATGGGGTCCCAGTAGTAGAAGTGTTGGCTTAAAGGGCAGATATCATCGTCTGATTCCCTCCCAAGCGTTGTACGGTTTTGCCCTCCCGCTATCAAAGAAGGAGAGTTTCCATATCCCCAAGTCTCACCAAGGGCAAGTTTGCCAAACTCTTAGGCTTTTACCCTCCATGTGAGCCTGAGCACCTTCCCGGTGACAAAGGGCCATTCGTTTCTTCTTCTGTGAACTGTCTATTCTTATGCCTCTTTTTCTTATGAGTCTTGCTATTTTTCTTTATGATTTTTAAGAGCTCTTCACATATTAGGGGGCCTAGTCTGCGATATGAGTTGTGCAAGTGTTTTCCCCCTTTGTCTTTTTACTTTGCTTATGGTGAATTTTTTGTTGGTGGTGGTAGCAGTGGCTGACTTGTTTTGTTTCTACCCTGCAGAAGTTTTTTGCTTGTGTGTAGAAAAATGCAGTCTTTTATTTATTTATTTATGGTTTTTTGAGACAAAATCTCACTCTGTTGCCCGGGCTAGAGTGCCATGGCGTCAGCCTAGCTCACAGAAAACTCAAATTCCTGGGCTCAAGTGAGTCTCCTGCCTTAGCCTCCTGAGTAGCTGGAACTACAGGCATGCGCCACCACGCCCGGCTAATTTTTTTCTATATTTTTTCTATATTCTATTTTTTTCTATATTTTTATATAATTTTTTTTCTATATTTTCTATAGTTTTAGTTTAATTTCTTTCTATTTTTAGTAGAGACAGGGTCTCGCTCTTGCTCAGGTGGGTCTGGAACTCCCGAGCTCAAAGGATCCGCCCACCTCAGCCTCCCAGAGTGCTAGGATTACAGGCATGAGCCACCGCGCCCGGCCTCAATCTTTTATGATATGGCTGGTGGGTTTGAAGCACAGTTAGGCCCTACCCGCGCCAAGGTCATAAAGATGCACGTAGCAGAATGGCCAGCGCCTCCCTCAGTGGCTCCCTCTTCTCAGAGATGCTAAAACCACAGGTCCCCAGACTGGGCATAGTCCAGGTCACCCGCCACCCGGGCTGCAGTCCCGCCCCAGGCTCCAGGCCCTGAGAAGGGAGAAGGGATGCCCAAGTTCTCTCCCAGGGAGGGGACCCAGGTCTCATGCATCTTTGTATCTTTCCAAGCTAATACAACATCTGCACACCAAGCACACTTAAAGAATTTTTTGAGCATAATTGGACTTGAACTCTCGTGATCCTGAGATCTCATTCAGTCATTATCCCCTCCTTGCTGTGGGATGTTGAATCATCTAACTTCTCAGAGCCTCACTCTCCTCATCTATACAGTGAGGATGATAAGACCTCCTTCAGTGTTGTAGTGAGGAGTAAATGCATAATGTATCTGGAAGCACTTTTTAGTAATAATGTGCTATGCTAACGTAACGTTACGTTAGTATCATGATCGTATATTGTGCTATCAGTGAGGCAACTATATTAGCTTTAATACACGACTAACAGGCCGGGCGCGGTGGCTCATGCCTGTAATCCTAGCACTCTGGTAGGCCAAGGCAGGTGGATCGTTTGAGCTCAAGAGTTCGAGACCAGCCTGAGCAAGAGCAAGACCCTGTCTCTACCAAAAATAGAAATAAGTTAATTGGACAGCTAAAAATATAGAGAAAAAATTAGCTGGGTTTGGTGGCACATGCCTGTAGTCCCAGCTACTCGGGAGGCAGGAGAATCACTTGAGCCCAGGAGTTGGAGGTTGCTGTGAGCTAGGCTGACGCCACAGCACTCTAGCCTGGGCAACAGAGAGAGACTCTGTCTCAAAAAAAAAAAAATACACAACTAACAGTAAATATTGATCAAAAGCTTTGGGGAAAAAACTGATTCTTTCAATCTTTTTGAGAAAGCATTAATGTAATATTAATTTTGATATGTGATGATTCTAACATCTCTGTGTCATTTCCACCCATAGCTGATCAGAGACCTGGTTAATGTCTGTGAAACTAACTTGTCCAAACCTAACCCACCATCTCTCGCCAAATACCGGGCTTTGAGATGCAAAATTGAGCATGTTGAATGGAATACTGAAGAATTTTCCAGGGTTAAAAAAGTGGTATTGCAGAATAATCGCAGGTAAGCATAAAGGAACCGTCTCAGGATCTGTTATGCTGTAAAACTCTTTGAGATTCTGTGAAAGAGCTGATCAGTAATTACCTAGATAATCTAATCCTCAGTGACGAGACACGGTGGTGATGACGTGATCACAAGTTACTTTCTACAGTCTTTGTAACAGAGCCGGGGGCAGTATTCTGTGCTTGGAAATACTCCCTACCATTCCACTCTGATTTCGAGGTTACCTAATCTTGTTGAAGATTAAGTTTAGGAATTTTAAATCAAAGCATGTTTGAGTTTATGTTTTGAAGGGTATTACAGAAGAAAATCCATTTAAACTAAGACCTAAACATGCAGGGATATGTGTATAGCGCCCTCTAACATGGCCAGTCTGTGGCATGGAAAACTTTACCGAAAACCTGGAAACACATCAAGAAAGTTGTCCCTAAATATCAGCTGCCCTTGTGTCCTCACTCACTCTGTCCATCCGCAGTCTCTGATGTGCATTCCACAGTGACAGCATACGGGATAGACCGGCTGCTCAGACAGGCCCTCACCGTGTGTCAGTACCTCTGAAGGTCACCTGGGCTGAATTCATGCCCAACTTCACGTTCAGAGACTCGTGTGCTTGCTCGTTCTAGAGCAGGCGTCCTCAAACTACGGCTCGCAGGCCACGTACGGGCTGCCTAGCACGTTTATCCAGCCCTCCAGGTGTTTTTGCCGCCACTGCCTGTCTTGCTTAGCAGCCGACTTGTCCCGGGCCCACTGTGCACATACTCCAACGGTCTGAGGGACAGTGAACTGGCCCCCTGTTTAAAAAGTTTGAGGACCCTCATTCTAGAGGATGGGACTTACCCGTTGACTTGGTCGTTCATTCTGCTGCAGCACTCCGCCTCCCTGAGGCCTTCTCCTGGGCATCTCTAGCATCTCAGATCTTGTGATCACGGGCCAGGTTCCCCCTTCGCCAGCCTGGCACACCCCACGGTGTGCAGCAGTGGTGTGTCGTGGCTGCAGGTACACCGTGGGGTGTGCAGCAGTGGTGTGTCATGGCTTCAGGTACCAGCTCACGAAAGCTAACCGTCGAAGTTCTCGAGATTTTTGTTACTGGCTGTTAAACCACTGGTAGCTTGAAATCAGCCACAGTGGGAGGATTTGCACCATGAAAGTCAGCAAATGCTGCAAATTGGGGTTGTGTGGGGTTTAACCTTACCAATAACATAAACAGCCGGTTAACACATTGTATGTTTATGTGTGTTGTATACTATATTCTTACAACAAAGTAAGCTAGAAAAAAGAAACTGTCATCAAGAAAATAGTAAGGAAGAGAAAATATATTTGCTATTCATCAAGTGAACGTGAATCATCATAAAGGTCTTCACATTGAGTAGGCTGAGGAGGAGGAGGAGGAGGAGGAAGAGGAGAGGTTGGTCCTGCTATCTCGGGGGTGGCAGAGGGGAAAGAAAATTTGCATATAAGTCGACCCGTGCAGTTCAGTCCCGGGTTAGTCAAGCGTCAACTGTGCCAAATACCACTGAATCATACACGGAATGGTTACTTTTATGTTATGTGAATTTCACTTTCAATTTTTAAGAAATCCATTCCTATGCACCTTCTCCAGATTTTGTTTTTATATGTCATCAGATTATTTTGATTTGACCTTTGCCCCTCCCCTAGGTGACTTCCCAGTGACAATGAAGGTAGAACTGGGAGGGGAATAAGTGGCCTTCTCTGGGGCAGCTGGGAAGCCAAGCGCTGTATCCAGCCCTGGGGGGGGGGCAGCTACAGCTTAGCCAGCTGGCGCCACCCCAGCAAGTCCCCAGAGAGCCTCTCCTGCCACTCCCAGGGCTTGAGTGTTCAGGCAACAAACATGGGCCACTCCCTAGGGACAGATTCTGCTGCTGTGGAAAACCAGATTTTCTCCATTTTGCTTAATAATAATTTGTATTGATTTTTTTCTAGTTATAAAATGCATGTTATTTGGTGAAAGCTTGGAAAGTTTGGAAAAATATGAATAAAATTAGCAATCACTCAAAATCTCCCTACTCAGAGATGATATAACCCCCGTTAGCATTTTGGTGTAGAATGTAACCCAGACTGAACCATCGATTCTTCTCTTCACCCGTGGCATGCTGAGAAGCCAGCCCTCTGAAATGAAGGTGGCATTTGTAATCTTTGCCGATTTCTGTGGAGTGAGCACTCCCACCACGGGTAACGTCAGGACGCCATCGCTGATCGGGGGGCGGGGGAGTTGGAGACGTGCACAGTAGGCTACCTGCCCCTCCCTGCACCCCAGTCTCCTCCCCCGCCTGCCCATCCCGCGTTCTGTCACCCTTCATCTGTTGTCTTCCTGCCTCGTACTGTGTGGCCGTCTTTAGTCCAGATCACATGGTCCCGTCTACCCTGCTGCAAAAGTGTCCTTCCCCCCATTCTCCTCCACTCCTGCCCCATCCAACCCATTTTCCCACAACAACCAGTTGTTGAAACATACATTGCATGGGTTGCGTTCCAATAAATGTCACCTCTCAAGAGAGCCCTTCCTTGACACTTCCTCTGAACCTGGTTGGTTTCCTTAGTACTGCTTAAAATAAGGTATTTGATAGTTTCTTAATTTTTGTCTCTCTCATTAGAATGTAAGTTCCATGAAGCCAGAGCCCATATTGTCTTATTTATAACACCTGGCAGAATATTTGGCACAGATGGTTTGTTCAGTGAATGCATGAATGAATGAATGAACCCATTTACTCTGTTGTCATATATATGATTTCGAACTCCTGACCTTGAGCGATCCTCCCGCCTCGGCCCCCCAGAGTGCTAGGATTACAGGTGTGGGCCACCGCGCCCGGCCTGTTGTCATATAAATGAAATGAAACTGTATATCCATTTCATATATATGACAGCAGAGTAAATGAGTTCATTCATTCATTCATATATATAAATGAAACTGTATATTCTATATATTCTATATTTGACAAAATTTGAGATCATATTATGTATAAAGTTTTGTAATCTACTTATAAATTTTTTTTTTTTTTTTTTTTTTTGAGACAGAGTCTCACTTTGTTGCCCAGGCTAGAGTGAGTGCCGTGGCGTCAGCCTAGCTCACAGCAACCTCAAACTCCTGGGCTCGAGTGATCCTTCTGCCTCAGCCTCCCGGGTAGCTGGGACTACAGGCATGCGCCACCATGCCCGGCTAATTTTTTTTTATATATATATCAGTTGGCCAATTAATTTCTTTCTATTTATAGTAGAGACGGGGTCTCGCTCTTGCTCAGGCTGGTTTTGAACTCCTGACCTTGAGCAATCCGCCCGCCTCAGCCTCCCAAGAGCTAGGATTACAGGCGTGAGCCACAGCGCCCGGCCTCTACTTATAAATTTTATATTTTACTGTAAGCTTTACTTCATATCCTTATTTATTTTTTAGGAATGTGACTTTTTAACAGCTGCATAGTATTTGTAAGATGTGTTGTAATTCATCAAATCCGTTCCCTGATAATGGACATTTGGATTATTTAAGAATTTCTTCTGCTAATGATGATTTTTTTTTTGTTTTGCTTCCAATTATGTAATCTCACGTTTTTTCCTCTGATTCCTACAGTCAGAGTCCGGTGGATATCTTGGAGATATTTAGAGTTGGGAGAGTGAATGAGACAACAGAGTTCTTGAGCAGACTTGGCAACGTGCGGCCCTTGTTGCATGGCTCCCCCGTGCGAAACATCGTCGGAATCCTGTCTCGGTACGAATATGATTAAATTAGATACTTTAAGTACTTAAAAGGAAATCTGTAATAAGATCCATCTGGAAAAAACTTTAGGCTGGGCATGGTGGCTCACGCCTGTAATCCTAGCGCTCTGGGAGGCCGAGGCTGGCGGATTGCTCAAGGTCAGGAGTTTGAAACCAGCCTGAGCAAGAGTGAGACCCCGTCTCTGCTATAAAGAGAAAGAAATTATTGACCAACTATATATATAGAAAAAATTAGCCAGGCATGGTGGCACATGCCTGTAGTCCCAGCTACTCGGGAGGCTGAGGCAGGAGGATTGCTAGAGCCCAGGAGTTTGAGGTTGCTGTGAGCTAGGCTGACACCATGGCACTCACTCTAGCCTGGGCAAAAATGAGACTCTGTCTCAGAAAA